TGAAAGAAAAGAAAGAAAGAAACGTGTATTAAAATGCCATAGCAACAGACATCAGCTGTACACTCCCTGCCCTGCATGCCTCATATGTTATTAGTTTAGTCTTTTGAGTCATATACAGGTAGAGGCTGACATAGTCAATAACCATTTCACTGCCTATGAAAGATTATCCAGTCAAATGTCCTTGAACCTTTTCAACGAGTTTATATTAAAAACCTTGATTCAATAACCATAAAACTAAAAAAAATTTTTCTCAATTAGATTTCTGATCAATTTAAATGATTCATTTTAATTACATACATATGTATGGAAAACTCGTCAGTAGTAATATGGCAGATCAAGACTCATTGTGTTTATTGTTATCAGACCAGCAGATATAGCTGGGAGACAACAAGGGTATTTGTTGGTTTAAATGTTCATCTGCTAGACATCTTCTATTAAATATATGACCATCAAAATGTTTTTCAGTTAATATTAGGGTTTTTTATGTCTTCTTAAAATATAAAAAAACAAAAATAAGTCCTGAGCTCAAACTCTCACTACTCCTGGGCAGCAGCAACGACCATAGCACACATCAGCCCCAATAAATACAATACAAACCAAAGAGAATAAGAGTTACCTGCGCACTTCCCAAATCCCTCTGCATATTTAAATAAATGGAGGATATTTAGTAATTCCAATGGCCATTAGATTTAAGCCCACCTACCACGTCAAGCCAAACCTCTTATGTGGGTCCTTTATCAACAATTCACCTTACTTCCTTCAGCTTCAAGCAAATATATCTCTAATGAGACAGAGAGGGGTATATTTATATGTATTGGGGCTGATGTGTGCTATGGTCATTGCTGCCGCCCAGGAGTTGTGGGAGTTTGAGCACAGGACTTTTTCTGTGTATTTGTATTTACTTTTTTTTCACACCGCAATGCAACAATGCAGCCAACACCCCATGTGCTCCCTATTAAGAATTAATAAGATTAATAAGCATGTAGGGTTTTTTTAAAATATCCTTCTCTGTCTTATTAGATATTTATTTGCCTGAAGATGAAGGAAGCAAGGTAAATAGTCAGTGTAGGACCCACCTTAGAGTTTTGCCTAGACGTGGCAGATGGGCTTACATCTAATGGCCATTGGCGTTACTAAATAACCTCCATTTATTTAAATATTGATAGGGATTTGGGCTAGTGCGCAGGTAGCTCTTTTTTGTTTCTTTGGTTTTCTCATAATATGTCTGCTTTTCACTGTATTTACGAAGAGCATGATTTAAAAAAAAATAATACCACTGAACCCTATTTGGGTTTAAAAGCCGTGAAATGCATTTATTCATATTAACTCTATTATTTACTGAACATTTCAATAAAATATTGCTACTATGTGCTCAATCTGGAAACATAAATAAACAAACAAATGTATTTGCTGTTTAGCGTGTCATTTTTAAGTTAGTGAGAAACGCAGACAGCCCCATAATCTTTGCTATGCAATAGTACTTCTCACAAGGAACCGCTAAATGTAACTCACTCAATCTAGCATTTGATTTGTCCTGGTGTAAGTGGGGATTGCAGTGTCATAAGAAAATATTGTAGAAGTAGTCTTGTAAAACCACAAATAAAAAAATACTGGCACTGTCTGCAGCCATAAATCTCTCTCACCCCTACCCAATGGATAGGGGATTTAAAAAGCTAATATATGGTACCTTGGATCAGAAGCATAATCAGACAGAAGGGGCTTATAAATGCTCCTTCCAACTGGGGAGTACTCAATTGTTAAATGTACTTATCACCTTGAGGTCCAAAGGAAATTATACATGAAGGTCATGCTACTAAATGCTGAGCTGACCACATCTCTGCTCCAAATGGAAATAAGTAAAGCAAAGCAGTTAAGGCAGGGCCAGACTAAGAGCTCAGTGGGCCTGGTGTTGACAATTATGTTAGGCCTAATTACAAAATCTTATCGACCAAAAACACTAAAACAGTCCTACCTCCCAAGTGTCATGTATCTGATGGAGGTGGTCCTGGAGGAAAACTCATAGGATGCAGCTATGAGAAAACACATACCCTATGCTAATCTCACGCTTTCATCTTTCAAGTAAATCCATACAAATCCATTAACAGCAGTGTCTAGTAAAGCAGGAAGTCTATGGACGGGGTAAAAGGTTGGGCCACTGACGCAAATCACATAATAAGAACTGCCGAAAAGGGCGAACATACCCCAAAATGTCGGTGTTCCCATGTCTCCAAGTGTCTCCATTTCACTAGGACACTAGGGGACATTGAGAGACATTGGGACACTGGGAGACATGGGGACACTGAGATACTAGGGAACACTGGGAGACCGTGGGACACTGAGACACTTGGGGACACTGGAAGACATAGAGACATGGGGACACTGGGAGACATGGGGCACTGAGACACTGTGATACAAAGGGGACCCCGTGATGTCCGTAGATTTCTCGAGGGCTGCACCATTCCTGTGGAACTCGCTTCTCTCCTCCGTTAGATGCTAACCCAGTGTCCACTCCTTCAAAAATCGTTAAAAACCCACTTCTTCATAAAAGCGTAGCAATTAAACTGTTAATAGCTCCTGACTGATTCCTCTTCTGCAACTGTCACTAGTCTAATACTATCCTTACCTTTTTGTGTCATTTTACCCCACTCCCTCTAGCATGTAAGCTCATTGAGCATGGCCCTCAACCCCTCTGTTCCTGTGTGTCCAACTTGTCTGGTTACAACTACATGTCTGTTCGTCCACCCAATGTAAAGCGCTGCGGAATTTGATGGCGCTATATAAATAACATAATAATATTATTAATAGTATAGGGGACACTGGAGACTTGATAAAGACCTGGGTACAGGTCAAAACATTGTGGTGTCCAATAAACCTGCTTAAATCTATCACAGTGAGTGCCTGAGATTTTTTTCTTTTATACTAAGGGACACTGAGACACTTGGGGGCACTGTGAGACATGGGAACACTGGGAGAATAGGGGACTCTTGGAGACTAGGGTACACTGAGACACTAAGGACACTGAGACACTACAGACACTGAGAGACACCAGGGACACTGGGAGACATGGGGCACTGAGACACTGTGATACATAGGGGACACTATGATACATAGGGGACACTGAAGACTTGATAAAGACCTGGGTACAGGTTGAAGCGTTGCAGTGACCAATAAACCTGCTTAAATCTATCACAGTGAGTGCACTGGGAGACATGGGGAAACTGAGATACTAGAGATACTGGCTGGGAGACATCCCAGGTCTCAAAGTTGCCCAGTGTCCCCATGTCTCCCTGTGTCCCCCAGTGTTCCCATGTCTCTCAGTACCCCCTAGTATCTCACTGTCCCCATGTCACCCAGTGTCTCCTAGTGTTTGTATCCTAATGTCTCCCAGTATCCCTTAGAGTCTGTGTCCCCATGTCTCCCAGTGTACCCATGATACTAGGACACTAGGGGACACTTAGAGACTTTGGGACACTGTGAGACATTGGGACACTGAGAGACTAGGGACACAGACACTAGGGACACTGAGAGACACCAGGGAATCTGAGAGACATGGGGACACTGAGAGACTAGGGGCCACTGTTAGACATGGGGCCACTGTGTCCCTGGTGTCTCTGGGTCCCCATGTTCCCCAGTGTCTCAGTGTCCCCAGGTCTCCAAGTGCCCCCTAGTGTCTCAGTGTTCCCAAGTGTCCCTATGTCTCCTAGGGTATATATGTATGTATATATATATATATATATTTAATTATTTTTTTTGCATGGGCTTGGGCCTGGAGCTGCAGCTCCATCATCCCCTATGTTAAACCTGCCCTGCAGTTAGGGCCAACACTATCAGTAATTCCGAGGAACACTGTTATTTAGAGCACCATACCAAATATAGCAGTTTCTCATAGTTGAGTTACGGACAGAGGAAAAAAACATAAGCTTACAATCTAAAATGACAATATGCACTGAGATAGAAGATAGCAGAAGAAGAAACAAAAAAAAATTGTTTACTTTATATATATTTGTTTAAGGGCCAAAATAGCCGTATATGGAGTAAGGTTCAAGTAAGAACTTAGGATAGTATTGTGGGGATATTTATGGGATAATAATAATAAACAGTGAGAATTGCCCACTAATTCAATTCTCAGATCCCAAAGATCGTTATCGTGTTAAGTGAAATGTATTTCATATAAATAAAATCACAATTTGTTATAAAAATAGATTTATTTTATAATAACAAATTAATTAATAATAATATGTAACATGCGTGACAATAATCAATGAATATCCAGTATAAAATGGTATGCAATACAAAGGAATGGCTATACACGTTTCAATGGCTAAACAGCATTTTCTGTCAAGACTTACACGATTTATGACTATCTTTCACAGACATAGAAAGCGAAGCTTTTCACAGCGAAGGGCCATAAAACCCTGGCTAACAGTTAGATCGACTGAATAACCCTTTCAATGCTGGCTAGATCTCCTAGGTAATTAAGATCTATTCTTATGTAATTTTAAATAAAATAACATTTAAACCAGTTCATTAATCATTTCCTGGAACCATCCAACAAGAGAATCTACCAGATTTTATAAACAGATTTTTAATTTGCCTAAAAAGATATCTTATCTGATATTAGAGCAAATCAATACACCTGGATAAAAACAGCGGTATGCTAACATGTGATACTATCACATTAATATATAATTATTCTTAATTCCACCTGCAGAATGGAATGTTTATAACTATATATTCTTTAGTTAACTAAGATTTCTAAATATGGAAATCTGACCGTGATTTATCCAGTCATATATCATGCTATTAGAAAATTTTAATTAATTTAATTAATTAAATGAAACCAGTATAATTACCAGTTGAGTAGGTATTTCATCCGATCGGTAGATAGTCTCAGGAACTTATTTGGATGTCTGTAGGTGCATGAGTTATGGTGAAAGGTGGTGTTGGTTAGAAAGTCAGTAAAATTCTAAGTGTTAGAGTTTTAAGAGTAGAGTGTTAGTCTCAGATGTTGTCCTGGGTTTCTCTGCATGTCCGAGTTGGAGTCCCCAAACTTCCAAATCCTCTCCTCTCTTTGTCTTAACTTTTAAAGGGCCAGACTCTCTGTACGTCATTAGTTGATAACCCAATAGAAACACTGGAGGTGTGGTTACCTTCCAGATCGCAATTTAGTGTTTGGTCTATAGAGAGCAGTCTTGTCCCACTAAACATACCTATCCAGGAAAGAGTTAACTTTTCCTGGTGGCTATTTTGACGTCATTTTGGCTTATCTATATGGTTGCCATAATTTAAGTTTTCTGTCAGATCAAACAGTTTCTTTAAGTTTTGTCCAGACTATGTGTCTGGCAAATTCTGCTATAATTTCTAATATGACAGTTCGTAAACTAAGTTTCATCTGTAACTTACAATGGGATCTTGTACATATAGAAAGTAAAATTTTATTATTTAATCTCCTCTGTCACAAATGTCTGTGTTTAGATATGCATCTATTCCATTAACATTTTAGACAGTGTGTCCAACCCCCGTTCTCCTTATTACTTAGTTTGTATATACTATGCATTCCTTTAGCTCTGGGAAAGTGGTTAGTTTTACAGATAGAAATCTTGTGTCTTTTGTTAGCTTGAAAATAACAAAATGGAGTCTGCTCTGTTCAAAGTGACTCAGCATATACACTTTTAATTTCTATCATAGCATAAGATGTCTGCCGATATAAATACCCTGACAGTATAAAAGAGCAAGTCAGTTGTGGTGTGCCGAGACCGACGATACGGTAGGCCTGTAAATAAAGAGGGCCCACCAAGGAGTAGAAAAGTAAAGGAAAAGAAAAAGAGAAATTGTTTATGATTGAGGAGTGGGTGGGAGGGTCATTCAGAAGCTGACATTGATCGGTAAGGAGTCAGGTAAGGGGTGTACCTTATATAGGGGAGTGAGTTAACTTAAGCCCTTCCCACAATTACAGGCCAAACGGCCATAATACTTGTGTAAGGGGCAAAATAGCAATATATGGAGTAAGGTTCAAGTAAGAACTTAGGACAGTATAAAAGAGCAAGTCGGTTGTGGTGTGCTGAGACCAACGATATGGTAGGCCTGTAAATGAAGAAGTCATACGTGAATAACCAAAATATTTAATACAGTCAACAATAAATACAATTATCCAGATATATCTTTAAATGCATTTCTTAATTCTTGTGTTGGTTTGGGTATATAAGTATATAGGCGGATGACTTCAAACGTCCCAGTGACTTGATGACGCGCACTGGTATTTTAGCGCTGGAAGCGGTGGAGGCCACCCCTATGTGAAAGGAGTGACCAGAGTAGTGACAAGGGTTGAGACCTAGCATTGTTAGCAGAGATCGGATGTATCTCATGAACGTAGTGGTAGTGAGTACAGAGCCTTGTAGTGCGAATAAATGTTGTGATGGTAGTGATGTGGTATGTAGAAGGTAGGCCTCTAGGGCCACCACTGGACACCATTTATTTTGGGTAGGGTAATACGTGATATCCACTGGAGGTGCATGTTGGCTTGTTTTTGACTGGGGTAATGCCAGTATGTAGTTGTCCATATGTTTGCGTAGGTGCTTGTGTAGCAGGCATCTGTCTGTCTGCTGGTGATAATAGTGAATTCCCTTGGCCTGAGGAAACCATAGAAGGCTGTGTACATGGCAGCTTTAATGACTGTATTGGTGGTAGAGTGGAAAGGTTTGGAGTCTAATAGGTCGGATAATGACTGAAAAAGTGTATTGTAGGTAATCTTTGCGGGCACAGATTTTTGAATGCCTCTGAGTATGTTCTTTACCTGATAAGATGACATGAAGCTATGTGTATTAGGTTGTAGGGTTAGCATATGATGTTGTATGCCTGTAAGATATAATTTAATGGTGTTATATGATAAGTGTAATTTAAGATGGCAAAAGGAAGTGAAGGCTATAATAGATGTCATGACAAACGGTTGGGATATGTTGTGATCGGATAGAAATCTGGTGAATAGTGTGAAGGCTCTGTTGTATGTATTGCGAGTGTTGGATGATAATGCTAATTTGGATAGATCCCTGCTATGTTCCATAATCAATTCTAGTCCATGGTTAGTTGTAGGAACAGAGGGGCGGCTGTGGATGCTTGAGCGGCTGACAGGAGTGCTTGTCGAAAGGCCTGAAAGTTGAAACGAGACAGACTGTCAGCTGCTATGCTACTAATACCTGGAACATGAAAGCAAACCAAGTAGAAGTTGTGACATGCTGCCAACCACGTGAGTTTCCTGAGAAACCTCATGATTGTAAGGGATGCTGAACAGCCTTTGTTGATTATGTTCCCCGAACATAGACAAGTGCACCAGAGCAGGGAATCCCTCAAATCTTTGTTGGGGGATTGTGGCAGAAATGCCTTTGCAATGTGTTCCTAGAGGGGCCTACTGGCTAGCCTCCTGCCCAAAGACTATGGAGTCTGCAAAAAACCCTGTTAAAAGACTGCGTTCATGCCATTTCCCTATACTGTTCGGGAACCGAACAGACACACAAACTATGAACCACCCTGGAACTTGTTTAACCCAAGTAACACCTTGTAATGGTTCTCACCTCAGTTCTAATTGTGCGTCTGGGTTCATATGAGCAACCACAAGATGGTGGCCATCTTGTTCACATAAACACAGGCAGCAGACTTCCATCATCGCCTGCATTCGGTTCTGTAGATCCTAGAACAAGCATGTCAAACTCAAAGGCTAGCGTGGGCCAAATAAACAAGGTTTAAGTTTATGTGTGCCGCAATAAAACAACAAAAAACAAAACTTAACTTTTCATAGAAACGTAGGTTTATAAAAGTTACTAAACCCCAGTATAGAAATTCCCAGTTCCACCCTCTATACTAAATTCCCAGTCCCCCCTCTACTGAACCCCTGCCTACTTTAAAAAAAACAATAAAAAAACTATTTTAGCCAACATGCAGACTCCACCCACATTGACGCTGCCAGTATGCGACTCCGGAGTCCAGCCTCTGGTATACCCCCAATGGCGCCATCCGCACCCTGTGTCAAAGTGGATCCTTCCGCTACTCCTTGAAACCCTGTGAAGGTGGAGTACATTGACGTCACGTCTGAATGTGACGTGGCTTTGCGTGCCTTTGTGCACCTCCAGGTCCTCCAATGTACCGCCGCGGCCATCGCAACACTGAACAACACACACTCACTGACAGACACACACTCACTAACAGACACACTCGCTGACAGACACACACACATGCTGACAGACAAACACACACTCACTGCTCACTGACAGACACACACACATTGACAGACCAGGGCTCGAGTCCTGCAGCAGGAATGTCATTCCCGCTGTTCCTGCAGGCACTCAAGGGATGGCAAAAAAGGCCGCTCCCAAATGCCCCCCATATTTCCTCTGTCATGGGGGGCCTGACCCAGCGCAGAGGGACATGGGTGTTGGAATCAGGTGAGTTAAAAATATTTTCCAGTGTGGGAGGGTGGAGTTGGGACAGGGGGACACTATAGTGTATAGTATGTTAATGGTACCTTTTATAACTCTTTAACATAAATGTCACACTTGCCTCATGTGCTGCACTATGGAACCTGACTCCAGTCACCTATATAGTTACATAGTTACATAGCTGAAAAGAGACTTGCGTCCATCAAGTTCAGCCTTCCTCACATTTGTTTTTTGCTGTTGATCCAAAAGAAGGCAAAAAAACAGTTTGAAGCACAATTTTGCAACAAGCTAGGAAAAAAATTCCTTCTTGACCCCAGAATGGCAGTCAGATTTATCCTTGGATCAAGCAGTTATTACCCTACATTGAAAGATTATATCCTTGTATATTCTGTTCTTGCAAGTATGCATCTATTAGCCGTTTGAACATCTGTATGGACTCTGATAAAACCACTTCTTCAGGCAGAGAATTCTACATCCTGATTGTTCTTACAGTAAAAAAACCTTTCCTTTGCCTTAGACGAAATCTTCTTTCTTCAAATCTAAACGCATGGCCTCGTGTCCTATGTAAAGTCCGGTTTGTGAATAGATTTCCACACAATGGTTTGTATTGGCCCCGAATATATTTAGGCATAGGCTCAATCATGAAGGGCTTTACAGAGACATGATCAACATATGTATATCAACTGTGTGTATGAGTAATCGTCAAGTATGGGATTTTTGCAGTTATTAGCGTCTGTCTGTTACCTTCTCGCAGAGACAGATCTGAAATTTTAAAGAAAAAGTGGCTGCCGGTAATCTGTAGTGACAAGGCTGGAAACCATATGGCAACCAGTAACCAGATTGCAAGTAGCATTTAATAGCACCACTTTCTTCTTGCTATTGTTATTCTCTAACAGTAGTGACAGGGACTTCAGTGAGTAGTGGCTGGAAACAAGCCTTAAATCTGGTTGTGTAATTATCTCTACCAGAGTCATTTTTACCTAGTCACAAACAGACCTATACTGAAAATGTCCATTAACAAAATACTCTGTAATCTTATGCAGTTCGTTTTTTGTTTTGTTTTTTTACAATGTAGCTCCAGATAACTTTTGAAAGATTACAGTAAATGCTAAATGGATTCAAGCTATAGCTGGGCAAAACTTCAAAATTTTGCATTGCAGGAATAGTGCTTTGAATTCCCCTTTAACCCCTTAAGGACCAAAGTTCTGGAATAAAGGGGAATCATGACATGTCACACATGTCATGTGTCCTTAAGGGGTTAAGTGTCCTGGTGATATGCCAGTGAGTGAGTTTCACAACGTCACTGTATCTTGCTGGGTACCCACAGTAGCAGCCCCCTGATTTCTTCCAGAATCTCCTTGTATTCAGTATTAAATCAATGAAGACATCAGACTTCTCCAGCAGGAGAAGATCGGATGCAGTACATGCACCCTTGGGAGACAGGTAAGTTGTCAAACCAATCTAAAAACTATTTTTAATTAGTTAAATAATCCTACCACCTTAACAACTGTTGTAGTTTTGGTCCTTGTAGTGTTATTTAAAAGTGAAGCAAAATTTGGCATCTGACCTGTTCCAATTTCAAACAGTCAGCATTTATTAAATCAGTAATCTTCCTGAAGCCTAGAAAAATGTAATTGTTGAATAAAAGTGTCCTTTTAAATTGCATTAGAAGGTGGTTAATATACAAAGACACAAAAGTATGCACTGCCTATAACCTAACCATTATATTTCAGTGTTTATATTTCTTACTTGTTTACTGATTATAATTGAAAATATCTAGAACTCATTGGATACTAGACAGAGACAAGCTAAATGTAGCTTTCCTGTTTAAATGCATTGACATTACCTTTTCTATGCATATGCTTCAGGCTTGTTCGATTCAAACTCAAACAGGTGAGCAGAACACAAATATTTGGTTTCTGCATTTTCAAGCATAAATATGTCTATAGAAGAGTTTGCTAAGACATTTACATCTGGGACAAAACACACTCAAACAGGTTTTGAACTTTCTCTTGTCTCCCCTCCCCCAAAGCTCTAGTTCTCTTCCTTCAGAAGGCACAGCCCTGCACAGATTATTTCTTGGTCACACCTTTAGCAAGATCTAAAGGATTCAACGTATTGCAAGCCTGTCGCTTTGGATTTAGCTCTGTTTGGACCCCTCTCTGCCACTGGGTGACAATCAGGTAAGGTTCCTATGGTTCACTCCTATAGGACAGTAAGTACTCCTTTAAAAGCAGAGTACTGTCAAAGCACAAATGAAAAGGATAATTTCTAACCATAGTTTCTGAGTATAGATCGTACTTGGTTCACGCATTGATTTCATTGTAGCTGAATTTTATAGAAATTTGTAGATTCCTGAAACGTAGTGTACATTTGAGAGCTACGTATTCTTTTCCATTCTCTATTCTAATGTGAGCAGTGCAAAAAAAGTGTACACATATTTATCTTTTATATACTCATTGACTGCACATGAAACCTTCACATTGACTGGCAATGATAAGTGTTTCATTATAATAGTTGAAGTGCTGTACTATTTACTATTCTACTGATTTCTACTGATATAATATCAGAGACCACTCTAAGTTACTTGCGTTTGTAAGGGTCTCCTCAAATCCAGGCCTGTTTATGTATACCAAGTCCCAGTAACACGTTTCAAGAACACAGCTTTAAAATACTTTATAAATCCTTTTAAAGATATTTCATTTGAGCAGAGTTATTTCTTGAGAAGTTTTCTTTTTTATTCTTGCATCATGAAATTTTCCTTTTATTTACCCCTTTGTATAATGTGGCAGAGTACATTGGTGCATTTTAAGTAAATTGATGTTTTCCGTGAATATAATTGACATTTTAATGATATGCCGCTAGACTAAACAAAGGATACATCTGCTAAATATTCACATCCATGCATCTAGTATGCATTTATTTACATTGCACTAACAGTGAGTAAAAATTGTCAAGGCAAATTTAATATATGATTACAAAAAAGGATTTCGTATCATTACGTTCAATATACCAAAGAATTAAATATCTTCGTCAATCTGTCATTATAAAAGCAAGTACAGAATGTCTCAGTGGTACAGAATTAGCCATGTGGTGACTTAATTTTGTCCTCATATTTGCATTGTGGAATGTGTTGATACTTTATAAATAAATAGATTACATAATTATTAATATATCACTGAATACTTTATGTATTTTTTTTTTTTTATCATAGTAATCTATGCCATATGAAGTGAGGATTTTACTATAAAGTTTATGTGGATCCACAATTACTATAAATCCCTGCCTTTAGTATAGGCAATACCACTTCCCAATAAAGATGTTTTAGTCAATTTTGCCAACCTGGGAAAGATGCCTAATATTAGGTCCAGCTCTATAAACCATGTGTGGCATATTTCTACATAATCCCAATAAACGGCTATTAGGATTGTGCAGCGTTATGATGCCACGTGTGGTATGTAGAACATGACATGAAGTGAGGCTTCTCTCCCAGGTTTGACGCAAATAACTAAACGTTCTTTATTGGGAGGTTGGCTGGACATTAATAGAATTCTGCTATACTCAGTATTTAGGCTTTGGTAGATCTCAGAAGCTTAAACCCTGCCATATTTAATATTCGGTATATAGTGTGTTACCATGTAAGGAGGGCAACAAAGAGAACACATGGGGTGTAACAAATGAACACAGATGGCATAAATTAATAGAAAAGGGAGACAGCAAAATGTCAATAAGTGAGAACTGCAGACAATTACCCCACCCAAAGAAAACAAAACGCGAGGACAAAAATTTACATTACTGAAAATTATGCCACAGTGGTAGAAGATGATGACGAGAAAATTTCAGGGCATTTTATTACAGAGGTTAAAAAATGGATGGACAAGGCATTATATCATTTATACAAGGAGAAGGTTCAGTATAGGTGTCCCTTGTCTATATTGCTAAAAGTGAACACACAAGGTGTTAAAAAAGGGGATCCCTCTCAACCTTCTAGGATAATACAAAAGTAAAAGACAGGTAAGGGCTGCGCCACATGTGATAGGATAAATTACAGATAAAATGAAATATATAAAACATAGAATAGAATAAAATAAATATGTGGGTGAGATAAAGACAAGATAACCTAATAGTGCAGTAAGTCAGGGCTAAGTAGGCCTGTTATTAAAAATAATAGTAATACACTCACATTTTTTTTTAGGTTATCTTGTCTTTATCTCACCCACATACTGAGACCAAAGACAACAAGACCCCCCAAGTATAAAGAACCTAGGAACAACAGTTGAACTCACCTCCTGAATAAGAGACAATTTTATAAATGACAATTTGCACATCTGGAATAAGACTCACAGAATTTTTTTTTATTCTATTTTATGTTTTATATATTTCATTTTATCTGTAATTTATCCTATCACATGTGGCGCAGCCCTTACCTGTCATTTATTTTCATATTGGTAATTATTCTCAACAGCAAGAATGAGATTTACAAACTTAGAAAATATGGTAATCAGCTAATGGTAAAAACAAAAGTGGTACAACTTGTATTATATACTGAGCATGAAAAGTGAATGTAAATTATTACAATTAGGATTTTCTTACTTTCTTCTTTTATTAATGGGCTTCATGTGTTCCCCTCCCAGATTCCTACATTGCATTACTTTCATGTACACGGTCATTCTAATAAGCAAAAAATAAAATACGTAAAAATATGCAGCAAAGAGTATCAGTTAAGGAACACTTCACACAACTAATTGTCCTCTGTTATTTATTTTACAAAAAGTGCAGGTTTCAATTGAAATTGGCACTTTTATATATTAACCATACTTTGCTGTCAATCAGAAAACCAGCCCTGTCACTTCCTGGTAGTTTAACTCAACAGCTAAATTCAAGATGCAACAATTGCTCAGAGCATCTGCCTTGCAATGACTTCTCATTGAGCTTTTTTATATACATCCCCAATGAAAGAAAATCAATAATTAAATACATGCATGCTTTTTATTATTTAATAAATAGTGATTTATTTTTGTATTTGGGCACGGAGTACCCTTTTAAAAATATCCCACCAGATTTCCGATAGAAATCCTTGTATTTCATCAACTTTTTATTTGCAAGTTGGATAGGTGAAGCACAGTATGTCCTAAGCAATGTGAAAATAAGCTTTGTGTATATGTTTCTATCTAAAAAAGGATTCTGGGAAAATGTTGACATTATTTTCTCTGTCATCAGAATAGACAGACAGTAATCAAAAAATGATTCTAACATCCTAACTAGTGGAACAAACCTTATAAAAAGGACAACAATTAAAAGGACACCACGGCATCAAAACAACTTCAGCTTAATTAAGCAGTTTTGGTGTAAATATCATGCCCATGCAGTCCCACTACTGAAATCTATGCCATTTAGGACTTAAATCACCTTTTTTTTTTCTGTTTATGCAGCTCTTGGCTGTGACTAACACAGCCTGCATGAAAAAATGGCCCTGCAGGGTATAGAAGGATATTAACAGTATTAACAGAGCAGGAGATACGACATTCTAAATTAAAGAGAATGTGCAATAAAGGTGTATAATAAAATAAACGTGTAAACATTAGATGACTCTTTACAGGAAGTGTTAAGGAAAGCCGTACAAGTCACATGCAGGGAGGTGTGACTAGAGATATATAAGCAAAGTTATTTAACTTCTAAATGGCACAGAATAGAGCAGTAAGACTGTAGGGCCATGATATATGCACCAACACTGTTTCATTAACCCCTTAAGGACACATGACATGTGTGACATGTCATGATTCCCTTTTATTGCAGAAGTTTGGTCCTTGAAGGGGTTAAGCTAAAGTTTTTTGAGTGATTATAATGTCCCTTTAAACCAGAGCATTCTAAAGCTCTGAATACATGTCTATGCTGTTTTACTCCCTTTTCATCTTGTCTTTATTTATTAGAGAGCTAAGCAGTGAGGCTTCATGGGCATTATCTATACACCAAAACCACTTTATTAAGTGAAAGTTGTTTTGATGCCTATAGTATCCGTTTAAAACTTTGGTAAATAAACATGTTTGCCAGAAAATTCAGTTTCAGTTACCATTGGAAATATTTTTTAAATTAAAAAAAATAAAATAAGCAGAGACCATGCAAATTACATTTACCTTTCACTGTTGATATTTGGGGGTTGACCTGATTCCATTTCTAAAAGTGCCTGTAATTAAGAACCAGCTTGTTGACCTACTGCATGTGAGAGAATGAGGTCTCTGCACCACGCCTTTCTTGACATTCTTTTCTTCTCCTAGGCATACTATTAAGAACTGCCAGGATATGTAACTAATCCAAGTAATCTCCATTATCTAGTCCAGTACAATGTGCAGACATGTAATAAGGAAGCAGTAAGATGTAGACCTGTGACTTTTTCCACTGGACAGCACAACCTATCAGTGGCCTCCTTGAAGTGGTAAAGAATGGTTCAGGGATCTAAAAAAAAAGTAAGGCTTGTTAGGAGATATCAGTAAGTGTAAAATTACAAAGCTGGATAATGTAAGGTGAATAAAACATGGTGTTTAAGAATAGACAAGGTATTTGCAACATATATAACAAAACTGTCTTTCAGGTGCTAGAATTTTAAAAATGGCTTATTCACTTTCACTTCACTTGACATTTTTCTAAATGATTGAAGTGGTTATGGTGCCTGGAGTTCATGGACGACAGGTATTACATGACTGCTAAACAGTTTATTCAAGGTTTAGCAGAGATACTCAGCTTGCCTCCTGGCCTCCACTTACCATTATTCCTCCAACATTAGTAAAAAGGAGGGTTGATACCTACGCCAGTCTCCCATGCTTGCTGTATGTGCTAAACAGCAAGCAGCCAGAGACATTGTGATTTATTTGTATTTTTAAGGAACCTTTCTGCAAAACAAGGTAGATGTATGGCACCCCGGTTAAATATCTTTAATCAATTTATTGTGTAGCTAACTCTCTGCAGAGGAAGACCCCCAGTTGTTTTCACATAGATTCTGATGCCAAGAGATATGCAATATCTTTGGTACATATTAATTTAGCAATAATCATTAAATAAAGATATCTTATTCTTGCATGATAAAAATTTAAAAAACTCTGTTCTTGGGCAAACTGATAAACAGACCCCATATAAATCCTTTTTTTTTTCTTCTTCCAATAAACTGGTTATACAACTTTGATGAAATACTACACCTAAATGTCTTAGGTGTAGTTCATATAATACATTTCACCTGCAAATGCTTGCCTTTAACTCATTCACAACTGACTGCTTTTAATTCAAAATGAATTGATCTCTTTATAGAGAATATGGAATACATAGCTAAAAAATAAATTTAAAACACAACAAATGTGTGTATTGATTGCTGTTTAGGAAACATTTTAAATTTTAAAATCAAGTTTGCAAAATTGCCATTTAAAAAAACTCTCATTTTTATTTACAAACCAATGTTAGGAAAAATGTAACAATACCTGCACAGGACTCTTCACACCATAACCAATATAGTGGACTGTACTAATTATGGTACTTAGCAGGGGCATACCTGGAGCATTTGGCACCCAGGGCAGATCCTATATTTGGTACCCCCTTAAAAATGTGGGGGGAAAAACACCCGCAAATTTTTAATAACATACACAGACACATAGGTACACACATGCAGTTACATAGAAACAGTCATACACAGACAAACACTGGCACATACAGATAGACACACAGATACAAACACACATATAGATAAAAACACACACATACAGACACAGAGAGACACACACAGACACACATACAGATAGAGACACACACATACAGACACATTTATACAAACACAGACACACAAACAGATACACAGGCACACACTGACACATACAGATACACATATACCAACACACATACAGATACACAGACACACATGTATAAGTGTGTGTGTTTGTATAGTGAATGCAGTGTGTGTGCTTGTATAGTGGATAATTGTGTGAGGGAAGGGATGATTTGGGGGGGTGAAGTGAGAGGGAGCTCAGGGAGGGGGGTGAGGATGAGAGGGAGAGGGTGAGGATGAGAGGGAGGGGGTGATTGTTAGAGGGTGGGGGTGATTGTGAGAGAGGAGGGTGATTGTGGGGGTGATGTGAGGAGGAGGGTGATTGTGAGGGAGGATGATGATTGAGGAGGAGGGTGATGAGAGGGAGGAGTGAGAGAGGAGGAGCTGGGGGGTGAGTATGAGAGGGAGGGTGATTGTTGGGGGGGGTGGTGTTAGGGGGAGTGAATGAGTGAGGGAGGGGAGAGTGGTGGGAGGGGTGATTGTGAGGGGGTGAGAGGAAGGGGGTGTGAGGGGGTGATTGTGGGAGGGGGTGATGAGGAGAGGGAGGGGGTGATGAGTAGAGGGAGGGGGGGTAATGTGATGAGGAGAGGGGGGGTGATGCAGGGGGGACTAAAAAATTACCTTAAATCCCTGGTGGTCCAGTGGGGGCTGCCTGGTGGTCCGGTGGCCATCAGCAGTGTGCAGAGCTGCAGACCATGGATCTCGCGAGACTCAATCAGAGCGTTGCCGTGGTAAGCCGCGGCAACGCTCTGATTGGGCAGTGCTCGCCAGACACATGGTCTGCAGCTCTGCACACTGCGTAGCTGCAGACCGGTCTCGGTAATGGGTGCAGGAGTGGCATTGCAGTCTGCCCCAAGCTCCCCCTAGTGAGTGGCACCAGGGGACCGCCCCCCCGCTCCCCTCTTAGTACGCCAGTAGTACTTAGACTACCCTTTTAAAAGGAATACAAATATTGGGAGGTCTAGAAGGCCAACAAGTGATTGTACTCACCTCTTACGATCCTTTCCAGTGGAGACCCACTCCACTTTCAAGCAAACAGATTCACAAAGGCAACATTTGAAGGCACTAATACTGGGTCCGTTTCGCACCAGGGCCCCATGGATTGTGTGTACGCCACTGTCTGTATGTGAAAGAAGCATCAGATCAGGAAAGGACAATGCAGGATGGTTGGTAGCAGGGTTGGTAATTCTCAAGCAAGAAAGTAAATCAATACAACTATATGCCTGTACACAGTAAATACAGATGTCTTTAAAAAACAGTTGTCTGTCCTGTAGAGAGCATTACAGATTGCTTCTATCCCCACCCTCAGACCTGGTATATTAGAATCCTTGTAAATTTAATCCATATAGGCACCATTACTGTGTAGGAGTGGCAGTGTTAGTACAAGCTGCGGGGGGACTGACCAGAGATTCGGCAAACTACTTTATTTTACTAAGTGAAAAGTAACATTGGAGTGATGGGAAGGTTAAGGGAAACCAAGCTTATGTGTGCATAGGGTTGTGAGGGAAAAAGTTAAAGGAACTCTATAGCGTTAGGAATGCAAACCTGTATTCCTAACGCAAGAGGGTCCCTAGTTTTATAGGTGTGTGTGGTCCCCACCTGAGTAAATAAAGTGTTAAAAAATGTTTTTACTTCTTTTCAATGACGAGACTAAATGCTGCATTGCCTTAAAAAGATAATGTAATGAGAAGAAAAAAAACTAATTACTTTTAACTAGTATAGTAAAGATGCTGTAACACGTCAGCTGCAAAACAACATAAAATAGACTTACAGTGTGTCTTGTATGAAAAAAAAGTAACATGAAAATATTTAACTGTATTAGGAAAGATAAATTATTGTACTTTAGAGCTTAGCACTGAAAACAGTTCCAGTTCCTTTTATGTTGCAATCATTGGTAGTTCCTGGGATTGTTGAAGAAGTAAAGCTCTCACACTTTCTGTGACATCACATCAGTTGGCTCATCAAATCATCGGCCTCACCTAGGCACATGGAAAAATTTAATTTCTTTAGCATGAGTCTTTGACAAAAATGCCAGCTCAGAAAATAAAGAATGCTGTACTCACATAATTGGAACTTCATCTGTTAAATTAAGGACACAAGGTAACTGGACTTGTGTATAAAAGATAATCAATCATTTGTTTAGGAATAGTCACTCGCCAATAAGTGGGACATTTTTATCAGGTTAAAACTTGGACCAGGTTATAAATCGATCTTCACTAAAACTAAAAATCAAATGCAAGAATGGAGTGTTCTTATGCTGCTCTAATACTAAATCTCTAAAATTATATTTTTAATTGAAGGGGCACTGTAAGCAACAAAACAACTTTTGCATAATGCAGTTGCTTTGTTGTATAGATCATGTCCCCTGCCGTGTAACTGCTCAAATGTATACCATTTAGTTAAGTTAAATCACTTAACTTGCGCAGCTGTAGCTTCACCTCCCCAGAGCCCACATGTTTTAGGGTCCCTTATTGCACTATGTGTATAATTTAGACAGTCTTGTCCCCATTCTCAGTTAATTGCCTTTGGTATGACATTAAAGGTTAATTTACTGAACAGGGGATAAAATCCTTTAAAGTAAACATACTATGCTGTAAAAAAAATATCATGTGCGAGTCACAGCCTGGGGAGATGTGGCTTTGTCTACTGAACAAAGTAATTTAACTCCTTAATGGCAGAGAATTGAGGAGTGAAAATGCAGGTGAATGCCCAATACACCATAGCTTTATTACGCCAAAGATGTTTTGGTGCTTAGAGTCTCAATTTAATTGTTATTTCTTCAAGAATAAGTATGATCAATACAAGACAAATTATTGAGCCATATGTCCTAAATGAAAGCATACCAATTAATAAAGAATAGCTATGTATTGCTAATTACAAGTCCAAACAAATGAAGTGACTACAATCTAAAGGTTCTATTAAAGATGTTGGTCTGTTTCCCTTTACATGGAGCATTAAGCTGCATGGGCTTTGAAACAATGTAGAGTCACTTCAAAATCTAATAGTACATGTAAAAAAAACTATGTAAAGTTCAGGGCCGGTGCAAGGATTTCTGCCGCCCTCGACAAAGATCCATGTTGCCCCCCCCTTCATGTCACACACTCACTGACAGACACACACACACACTGACACACATACACTCACTGATGCACACACACAGAAACACACTGACAGACATTCACTCACTGACACATACACTCACTGACAGACACTCACTCACTGACACACAAACACACACACACTCACTGACAGACACACACACACTCACTGACAGACATACACTCACTCACTGACAGACACACACACTTATTGACAGACATACACTCACACATACGCACACTTACTGACATACATACACTCACACACACATACTCACTGACAGACATACACACACTCACTGACAGACAGACATTCACTCACTGACACACACACATACAGACACTTACTGACATACATACACTCACACACACATGCTCACTGACAGACATACATACACACACACACACTGACAGACATACTCACTCACTGACAGATATACACTCACTCCCCGACACACACACACACTCACTGACACACACACTCACTGACAGACACACAGACACTCACTGACAGACATACACTCACACACACATACTCACTGACAGACATAAACACACACACACACACTCACTGACAGACATATACTCACTGACCGGCACACACACACAGACACTCACTGACAGAATACACTCGCACAGACACACACACTTACTGACAGACATACACTCACACACACATACTCACTGACATACACACACACACACACTGACAGACATAAACTCACTCACTGACACACATACACACTCATTGAAAGACATACACTCACTGACAGACAGACACACACACACACACACTCACTGACAGACATATACTCACTGACAGACACACACACAAACACTCACCTCCCTGGGGTCCAATGTGGGGCAGCTCCTCACTCCTCCAGTGTGCCGTTTAGTATGCCGGGGCTGGAATTACGTCATATCCTGGCTCCCGGCATCACAGAGGGCGCATGAGGGAGGAGTGAGAGGCTGCAAGAAGAGCCTCCCTCGCCGCCTGCCTTCTCCGTCCCACTCTCCTCCGGCCACCGGGATTTGATGGGTTTAGGGGTTAGGTATGGGGTCAGGCTTAGGGTTTAGGGTTAGCGCTTAGGAGTTAGGAGTAGGGTTAGGGTCTTACCGAAGTTCCGAATTGACGAAGTCCAGAATTTCAGAAGTGCCGAACCGAACCGAATGCCATTGGTCCGAATTGCCAAAGCAGACAAATATTTTTACTTACTCGAATTTCTGAACCAAACCAAATTTGTTGCCCATGCACATCCCAAATAGCCTTTATGTTTCTCACCTTAAGCCAAGTGATGCTAGGTACACTCTGCAGCAGGTACTCCCTATCCCTAGTCCCTTTAATGCTAAACCACACTAATTATTGCCACTCATAAACCTCATGTCCTCCTAGCACCACTACAATGGTATGAGACTAATGTATTGGGTATAATGATGTATACTACATCCCAATACAGCATTAAACACACCAGTATATCCCTCATAGAAATTATGTAATTCTGTAATTTTAAACAGTTAGACATTATTATTTAAACTGTTATGACATTTCAATACAGTGCTATAATAGTCTAAAATTAAAGCATTTAAAAAGTTGACATTTTCAAAGTGAATTACTTCTTCATATACAATAGGGCAGCACTTTTCTTGTCCAGCTGCCCACATAAATATGTTATGTGTCCAGAAAATCACAGTAGATATGGCAACTCTAACTCAAACTATGAAAGGTGTCAGGCATGGATCTTACTTTGCTTATCTTTTAGAATACAATATAATGAAACCATGTTGATTTTTTAGGTTTCAGATGTTTTTTTGTTACATATTAATACTGAATTTATTGTATTTGTGTAATGCAAAAAGTACAAACTATAATTATGCTGATTACCAGTGTCTTATTTTGTTGAACTTGTTTATAACATTGGTCCATAGTTTGTACTATTTATAATCCTAATTTATAGTCACCTACTGTGAAATGCCTGAGGAATTTAAGACACCAGACAACACCTTAACTTGGAATAACAGACTATTGACAATGCAAGAATACCTGTTCTAATATCAGATCATATGACAGCAACAAATTATCTTGGAACTTCAATCAAAGAACTGCTTGAATATTTAGCACAAGTGTTATACATTTTCCTCGACACTTTTCAATGGTTCATATGATAATGCACACATGCTCATAGCATTTTGAGAAATGTAAAAATCCACAAATTAAAGTGAACTTGTCATGACGGATATAAGTTTGCAGCTTTCTAACCATCTCTCTTCACTCATGTTATACAATTAAGTGTTTCTTCCTTTAATACTGTTAAAAGATCATATTTTAATTTATTTCTATTACACCTGTTTCATGCTGAGACCATCAATCATGTTTTCAGTGGGTGTTACACTAGCTTTAAGATACACCTCTCCCTAGCATTTTGTCTTGGCTTTGTGTAAATATAAAATCTGCTATTTCTCTCCTCTCTCCGTGATTGCTGCTGGTGCTGCTTTGACACAGAGCCTGCTCCTCCCCAATCCCCAATACTTCCCACTGCAGGCATTGCTTCCCCTTAGGCTGGATTCAAGCATGAGGCACTCACAGATGAGGATTTCCCTGGTGACAGACATGTAGTGCACAGGCTTCTTAACCCTTTGCTGAATAACACAGAATGAACTGATGGAGAGGAGAGATGGTTTTTTACCTCTGATTTTAGAGAAATCTAGACATTTAATAGCAATTCTGCTACCATAACATGGAGAAATGTCATTCTCTAAGATCTAAGATTAAGTTGAGTTGTCATGACAGGTACCCTTTAAGGTAGATACATTTTCATTTTTCAATGGTGTCATGCAACAAACAAACAAATAAACAAGAGAAGTATGTATTAATTAGACTCAATAAAAAAGCAATCATATAAATTGACTGTATGTGAAAAGCAAGAATAAAAATGTCTGTGATAGGAAATAGCAAAGTGTGATAGTCTGCCGTATACCACATTATGCCACAGCTCATACTTCCCATAAGACAAACATGGTTATTTACTAAAGTAAGAATTGCAGAGAACACAAAATGAATTCAAAGTTTTGGCTAAAATAGTTGTCACTTCTGTTTTGTGTTTTGCTATTTTGGCCTTAAATTTTAAATTAATTTTGTGTTCGCTCTGAATTCAGATAATTTTCACTTTAGTGAAAAAACCTGTTTACGGGCTTGCTGCCCTTCTTTTTGCTGCTGATTGCATTAAAACTTCAACACAACAGACAGAAACAATGCAGCTTTAAAAGATAGTAAATGTGTTTAGAAATTCAATTGCATAAATAAAATACCATGCTTTTGTTCTGTAAGACTTTTTTCAGCTACACAAATAGCTAACAGCATGTTGAAATGACCTAAAATATTCTGGAAATACCCTGTCTCGCTGGCACATCATCTAAAAGAAGCCACACTTGAGCTAGCTACGTAGTACACTCCCCTCTCTAGCAACACATTAAGACATAAATAGAGCCATAGCAAAACAGTAAGTGGCACAGAGAATTTGGGAATATATAACACTTAATAGAAATGTGAATGAGTTCCATTGTAGTTTCTAATGTGATAGCACAGGCTAATATTGTTTGCTGTATCTCCTGCGCTTTAAGACTCAATTTATTTTGAAAAAATCACAAATATGTCTTTTTCATTATTATCATATCCTTTCTTTTTATATCTTCACTTCAAAATATGGAGCTATTCCTATATTGTAGTAAATCATAGATATTGGGAATTACGCAATTCTTTTTGTTTCTAGAAAACACGATATGCATGTTTCATTTACACTGTGCAGATCTTGTTTGTTTAATTTTACTGCAATTTCTCGTTCAATAAAGTTTGAGGGTTTTTTTCAATAATAACTGAGAATTGCAAATTTAAGACCACAATAGACAAATAAGAAACCTCCTTCAACTCAGCTTTTTTCCCATTTCAACCATTGTGACCTAAAATTTACAATTCCCTTACCAATTTTCCACAGTTCATGTTTCAGTAAATAATCCCTTAAGTGCTTGTGATAAAAAGTTTTGAAGTTAGAAGAATTCAAATGTTACTTAGTGCCATTTACTGGGAAAAAGGGAATCATGTATAAAGAACAAATGCAAGGAAAATACATAAATATGCTCCAAACAGCATGACCAGCATAATCTAGTTTTGTTTTAATATATCTGTAGTTTTATAAAACAAAACGTTTTGGACTGTGAAACATGTTTGAGAAAGTAACGTTGTCTATCTCTTGTTCTAGGTCTTGATGCTACAATGGATTGGAAGACATTCCAAGGCCTTCTGAGTGGTGTGAATAAATACTCAACAGCATTTGGACGAATATGGCTATCTGTAGTTTTTGTATTTCGGGTTCTTGTTTATGTGGTTGCTGCAGAGAAAGTGTGGGGAGACGAGCAAAAAGATTTTGACTGCAACACCCGACAACCTGGCTGCTCCAATGTCTGCTATGACCACTTTTTCCCTATCTCCCATATCCGACTCTGGGCCTTACAGCTAATCTTTGTTACATGTCCATCCCTTTTGGTGATTATGCATGTAGCCTACAGAGAGGACAGAGAGAAGAAGAACAAGCTGAAGAATGGAGAGAACTGTAATAAGCTCTATTCAAACACTGGCAAGAAACATGGTGGCCTCTGGTGGACCTATCTAATAAGCCTCTTTTTCAAGACAGGCATTGAAATCACCTTTCTTTGCATCCTGCATAATATGTGGGAGAGCTTTTACCTGCCGCGCTTGGTCAAGTGTGCCAATATTGACCCTTGTCCTAACATTGTTGACTGTTATATTGCTCGGCCCACGGAGAAAAAGGTTTTCACCTACTTCATGGTGGCTGCCTCCGGCCTCTGCATTTTCCTTAATATCTGTGAAATATCCTACCTTATTATAAAGAGGGTGATGAATTGTATTAACAAGTGTCGAAAGTCCAGCAGTCACTCAGTCACCTACAGTAAAGCCTCCACCTGCCAATGTCACGTCCATCTTGACAACACTGAAAAGAAACCTTTAAACAAGACAGTAGAGTCTCTCCGTGCCTCTGCACCAAATCTGACTTCTCTGTAGGGGACACTGGAGAAGCACAATGTACATGCTTAAACAAACACTTTCTGCCCATTTTGGACATGCATCATATACTATGTTACCAAATACCTTATAGCAGTTCAAGCATTTTTTATTGGAAACTTGTATGCTGTCCAAATCTGAGATGTCATGTTTGTATAACAGGTGCCAAAAAATGGTATTTCCAGACTGTTTACATTGCAAGATATAGCTCTACTGATTGCACAAACCAAAGACAAAAGTAGAGCTAGATGAATACTATATGTCATAAGAAAATCGTGACAAGAGAACTAAAAGACACTTGTTAGATTATCAGCTCATCTGGCTAATCATTTAAGAAGTATGTGATTTTGCATTTCATAGTTTGGTTTGTAGGTATCAACATCCTAAAACCAATTAAGGACAGTTTCATACAAATTCATTCTACACTGCCTGTATGCCTTCAAGCTATGTTCCGTTAAAAGGCAATCGCAGCTCTTATTGCTTAAATGCTTATAGTAAATGAGGAATGTGTGATGCACGAGAAAAAAGTGGAAGATTTAAAAGAATACCAGGCAACATAATTTGAAATGCTAAATTATGAAATGGTGAAGACCAAGGGACATTTACTACTACTATTCTCAAAAATCACATAATCTGAACACAAAATAGCAGAAATCACTGCCAGATCTTAAAACAAATAGCGTTAAAATCTTATGTATATATGTTGTAGATAGACCAGTAGCAAATTGTACTTTTTTTTTTACATATCAAATGAATGCCAAGCACTGCTAAACTAATTTCCTTTCTGCTGCTGTACTTATCATGTTAGTTTATAAAGCTGGACTTAACTGCCCTGGATGTGATATGCACACTTCTAAGTTATATCCAGAACAACATAGAGCTGAATGAACAATAACATTAGGGTTATCAGTACATTGCAAAGAAATTACACTTTCCCCTGAAATCAAGTGGTCAGCAGAAAACAAAAAAATATGAGCTGTTTTAGTGAATTTTAAAAAAAAAGATTGTATTAACAGTTCTTAGTCTGAAGCAAAATTATGCTCTCAGTTCATGGGTTCTACAGCTCCCAATATCAGTGTCCCTGTTGGATGGGGGGAAAAGTTGGAGTCCTATGAAACACGTCCCTTGCACCTCCCAAAAGCAGCAGACCCATTCCAGACAGGCCCCTTGAATTTCTGGCAGGTTAGCCTGGTGTGTAATGTAATTTCATGCTGCCTGACAAACAAGCAGGTTGCTTTTTGGGGACAGTTAAGTGGTATCCACAAAAGCACAACACCTGGGATCAAAGCCAGGATGGTAGGACAGGACCAATAACTCAGGATGATTGGGAGCCATGAGTTTCACATGTAGATATGCACCTTACATAGACTAATTGTCAATTTATGGGGTTTATTTACCAAAACAATAATTGTCTACAATTGACAAAGAGATTTCATCTTTTGGGTCAGATTACTTGAATAGTATTAATAGCTTAGTTGAGGTTTTCCAATTGAGCAATTTTAGAATACGAGTTAGAAATCATTTTTATCAATTATCCACAATTCCCAGTTTAGCGAACAAACCTCTGCATATTAGATGACGATCATAACGAAAATAAAATATTTGCTACCTGCTCACTGCCAGACACTCTGTTGAAGAGATTGTTTAAGATAACCAAATATATTTTTTTCTACAGTTTTTAGATATTCGGAGGACATCATTCTTTCTGTCACCTCTGTATTTATTATTTATATGAAAAACATGTATTTTATTAAAAGTTGAATTTTTTTAACAAGCAAAGGTTGTTTAATTTAATCAGTTCCATATGCATGTAAATGCTAGTAAGTAAAAAAGGACATATACAGCAAGTACAGAAGAGATATTTTTTTCACTGGAGAAAGAATGACTCGGCACTCATGCACAAAGGCCCAACAGAAGCCACCCAAGCTACATGAATCAAGACAGCACGTTGAAAAACCTTATGCATCTATTGAGACTCATTAGAGCCACTGCTAGGGTTAGATTGACTTATGTTAGAGTACATATGGATATGGAATGCTGCAATCGAAATGCTATATACTCTAAAAAGGATAGGTGAATTTGATGTTTTTATAAGGAGAGGATGGATTTAAAGTTAGGTATAGGGATTCTGTTGTGTACAGGGTGTAGGGAGATACAGCCTAAACCCTTTACAGTTTTTTTAACATTGGTTTAAAGTTTATAGAAAGAGGTGCAGTAGGTGACTAGGGGGACTTGGCAACCCTTAACCTCAAAACTGTAATTAGTTCTGTTATTAGTTATGCTTTTATTAAGGACATACTTGACATGTGCACAGTCGTTATTCCGCAAGTGCTAACTCCTTAATTAAATGACACTCGGACACCAATTTCTGTTGGAGTATAAAGTCCACAGCTTTATTAATTATAAATATATATAATTTAACAATTTAGGGTCATTGTCACAAGTAATAATTACTTCCGACCTTCATGCCCAATACCCCTGACAATGACCCTACCAAATAACAATAATGAACATTCCAATAATGCATAACATTTTACACATGGCCTACCAAAGAGGCCTCATAACCATATGTTTAACTGTAGCTGTGTACCCAGACACCCCTACACCCCCAGGTTCGTACCAACCACTTTTCCCCTCTGGCCTACTCCAGCCTAGACCATGGCCTACCCCCTTCCTATTCCACCTAAATCCTTTTTAACCCACGCCCTATTCCGCCACAGCACATGACTTGACCCCCTTAAGCTCATGTGCGACCCCACCACACATAAATCATAAATAGGGCCTGGGTAATACTATCCTGGAAACCCAAATTAAGCAAATCAGAGCCCACATCCGACAAATGCACCCTATCCTTCCTAAAATACCCGGGCAGCATGCCCTCCAACTCTCGGTGCTGCACAACCACACCACCTATCCTTCTAACGAAAACTGCTATTGTCTTATTGACCTTGCCCCTACATCGCGCTACAGCAGCCTGATCCCTGGCGTATCTCTAAGTAAAACGAGGCACCATTTCCGACCATACAACTACCACTCCAGGAACCAGCTCCCGCAGCTAATCCAAATCTTTCTTCATCCTCCTCAACAGTTCGCGCTGGGGGATTAAACCTAAGTCATTCCCCCCACCGTGAACCAATACTACATTTGGGATTAACTCTTACCTATCCTGCGAAACAATTCCATACTGATACTCTGCAACTGAAACTCCTGAATCCAAACCAAGATAGAACCACCATTTCCCTAGGAAAGCCCAGTTGCGTTCCGTTTCTTCTCACTGCGGCTCTCTTCTGTGCCCAATACACATATGAATATCCGATCAGCCATACCAATCGACCTGGAATAAATAAAACAGTGAACAGCAGAGTAACATGAAACAGAAAAACAACCCAGCACCACATCACACCAACCTGTCAGGCCTCACATACGAGCGGAACCGAATAGATGCCCACCTCCCAATCCGCTTAATCCGCTCGTCACCCAAACCTAGGCATGCCGCCTCCGTCGCTGCCCCAATTCGAAAAGAATGTGTCCCGAACTGCCCTGGGTCCAGGCCCAACTTAAGTAGGCCCGAGCGAAAGCCCGAAGAAGGCCGAAGCAAACGCCCCGGAAAATAACACCACCTCGTAGGTTGAGGAACATAAGGTAGGTAGCGCCTCCACTAGCCCTTGCAGCACTGCAAATGACACCGGCCTCCTCATAGCCACTGATTTTTTGCCCCTCCGAAAACCACGTACTGCTTGCCTCACCATAAAGTGTTTGGTTATGTCCTCCCATCCGTTAAACTTGAATAGGAAAGCCAGCGCCGACATGTGCCTGTCTACCATAGCTGGAGACACCTTTTTAGCGAATAGTCGACACAGTACCCATAACAACACATCTAGCCGATGACCTGCCAAAAGGTCCCCTCCAATTTGTGCCACCGTCTCATCCCATTCATGCCAAACCTTTTCGTATGCCGCCCAAGTGCCCGATGCCAAGGAACTCCTTACGAACTCCCGGAGCATGATGTCCTGAGCTGCCACAATTCCTCAGGACATGCCAGACCCTCCTCCTGTGCTTCTGGAGCCGCTTCCCGAAAACGTTCCCACTGTGAACGAGACAGTGTGTCAGCCACTATGTTTAAGAACCCTGGTACATGCATTGCCCTAAACATGATATTGCTAGACATACAGAGCAGTACCAAATGCCTTAATAACCGTATCACTACCGGCGATGATGCCGACAATCCATTGATAGCCTGGACTACTGCCATATTATCTAAATAAAAGACCACTTTTCTGTTCGCGAGCTGCCTCCCCCATAATGCCATTGCAACTACCACCGGGAACAATTCCCAAAATGCTAGATTCCTGATCAGCGAGCTCGCTTTCCATTCTGCCGGCCACTCTTCGGCGCACCATTATCCTGACAAATAAACCCCAAAACCAAAGCTCCCCGAAGCGTCCGTGAAAAGGCCTATGTCCTCAGACGATACCCTTGGCTTTATAAAAAACACTGTACCGTTAAAATCCCTCAGAAACCTTCCCCATACATCCAGATCCGCTCTCATATCCGTCGAAACGTAATGAGTTGGCAGCCGCACCCCACTCATCGCCCGAGCTAGCTGCCTGCAAAAAAACTCGGCCCATAGGGATCACCAGGCAAGCAAAATTTAGGCTTCCCAATAGGGACTGCAGCCCCCATAAGGTCACCTTTCTCGCACGCTTCATTGTGTCTATTAGATGACAAAGCGTATGTAGCTTGTCCGTGAGCAGTCTACATTCCCCTTTCACCGAGTCAATCTCCAAACTGAGGAAACTGAGGCATGATGTGGGGCCGACCATCTTATCCCCTGCCAGTGGAACCCCAAAAGAGTGTGCCACCCATTGAAATACCTTCAATATCTGACCACACCGCTCGGCTCCTGCCGGGCCCACGCACAAGAAATCGTCGAGGTAATGCATGTTTGCCGTCCCGGCCTACTTTCGCCGCACCACCCATTCCCAAAAAGGTGCTAAACTTTTTGAAATAAGAACATGATATGGAACAGCTGATAGGTAAACACAGGTCCACGAAGAAACCCCCTTCGAAGAAACACCCTAGTAGCTGGTGACATTCCGGGTGTATGGGAAGCAGCCGAAATGCTGCTTCCACATCCACCTTCGCCATCAATGCCCCGTGTCCTGCTTTCCGAACCAACTCGACTGCCTCGTCGAATGATGAATAGGATACAGAACACAGGGCTGCGTCAATATCATTCACCGAAGCCCCTTGTGGGTGCGATAAGTGATGTATCAAGCAAAATTTTCCCGCCTCCTTTTTTGGGACTACCCCTAGTGGAGACACAAATCGTCTAATGGTGGGAACAGAAATGGCCCTGCCATCCTCCCCAATTGGACTTCCTTCATTAATTTCTCCCGCATTATCCCCGGGTGTTCCCAGACTGATTTAAGGTTTGCGGACCCTTAACCCCGAATGGGATAACAAAGCCTTCCGTAAACCCTTGCCACAAAATTCATGCGTCTTCCTGGTTACCGTATAGCCTTAGCCAAGGCCGTCCCCTGAAAGGGCGCATTTTTCTGCGCCATAATTAGTTTCATCGATAACGGTAGGGCCATTTGGTCCCACCTCATGCTAGGGTTTGTTGCTAACCGCTGACGGAACTGTTCATCGTACCGCCACCATGCCAAACCCCCATAAGTCCTGTAGGCTTCACCTATCCCATCTAGAAAGCAAAAGAGCTGCGAGCATCAGTCTGGGGACTTTTCTCCGATTACGCTCGCCAAAATACAAAAGGCCCTGAGCCAATTCCCAAAAGTCATGGTATCTTTCGATACCGCCACTTTTTCTCCTCCTCTTCTTTCTTGGCGTCTTTCCTATCCTCCTCATTTAAATCGAGGAATTGCTCGAGTGGGAGCAAGGAAAAGATATCCATGAATTCACCTCTCCAAATTTTATCTTTTGCTTTCAAGTGACACCCCAGCGGCCCGGCAAAAGAAATGTGCACGTTTTACCACGCCACGTCCACTATCTCACCATGCCTTACTACCTGGTCTCCTGACCCTTCCGCTCCCCCGGGTACTGCTGCCCCCTCATCTACTTCGCCGACGCTCAAACTGCGCGCCTCCTACACCCCTTGCTCCTTTTCTTTTCCGCCCTCTGGTGACCATACCCTTACAAACCGCGGAGATGACCCCTCTTCACCCGTCCATGACTCTAAGAACGTTTTCAAGCAACCCAGTAAAGTCCCAGTATGTGGTGTATGTCGTGACTCACCAGTGCCCCCGACCGTGGCCGGCCGCGGGGTTGCTGTCCGTCCATCCACCTTGACAGGCTCCGGAGAATCCTGTTGTCGCTGACTCCTGTCCGCCTGGCCCCTCCTCGAGGCCATAGGTGAGACTTGCCTTGACCTGCTGGGAGAAGATAACCTGGGTAGTCTGCCCACAAGCTGCCCTACCCGCCCATCCTCCCTGCGTTCCCTTCCGCGGTCCCCGTCCCTGCGCTGTTTCGCTGCCTGACCATCCCGACCGTATGCGCTCCTCTGCCCTCCTCGTGAACTGTCTGACAATACTGATGCACTGCACCAAAATCTCCCCCTCCTTTCTCTGGTGCTGGTCCTCCGCCTCCCCCACTGGCTCCTGGACCGGCTCCTGCTCCTGTGCTCCTTCCCTCCACTGACCTTCTCCGTATGCTGCGCCTGTAGCTGTCGCTGCGCTGTTCTCCACTATCTCCGCCTCCTGCTTCAGACCTGCTGACCCTGGGAGCAACCCCTGAGGGGCTCCCGCTCATCTCTGCCTCCCCTGCCGTGTTCTCTCCTCCTCGGACTCTGCATCTCTTCCACGTCCCCTGTACCCATCCTCCTGTCTCCTGCTGTGTCCACACTGGATCCCCCGCTGACGTCCTGGGGGCTAGGATCTCATCCCCCCGCTGATCCACTAGTCTCCTGAGCGCCCCTCCCTGAACCTCATCCCTGTCTTCACCCCTGTGCCTGGTCCCTGCAAGGGTTAAACCTGTCTTGCCCTGTCATCTGCATCCCCCCTGCCACCTGCAGGGGCGCTAGCGCCGAGCTGTCTGCCTGCATCCCCTCTCCAGCAGCACCACCAGGGGCAGACTCACCGGGGCGCTGATTGTCTGGTCCCCCACTGCCATGCTGTCCAGCCGCCTCCTCTGCCGGGCCGGATCCGGATTCCTAGTGTGTTCTCCCACCCACGGACTGGCGACAAGGCACCCTCCGCGTTGCAGGCCTCCGCGCCTGACCAGCGCCCGACCGGCGCCCGACCGGTGCGCTCTCACTCTGTCTATCTGCCTGGGCATCCCTTCCTGATCCGCCCGACGATGGACTCTGGCACCTCAGCGCCGTAGTTGCTGCTCCTGGGCTGAGCCGTTGGGGAGGTCGTGCCCTTCTCCTCGGCCTCTTCTCCATCACCGTGGGTGGGGAGCAGACATGCTCGGGACCCTCAATTGGTCCTGCAGCCAAGACATCCCCTTCTCCTCCACCATTCTTCAGACACCAGCCAGGATCTCATCAGCAGAAGCCATACCTTAAAGAGAAAGAACAAACCACACAGACCTGCTACAAGTAACAAGTAAGTTACGATGGCCACTTCACTAAAATGGCCATTATTTAAACCACTACTCTCCTCCCCTCAAACTAAATATCAATTTTTTCCACACCCCTTGACTCTAACTTCACCTGCCCACTCTCTGGCCCTGTCAAGGCCCACTCCCCCACTGCGTTGTTCCATGGGCTTCAAGAAGAGGGGTTGGAAGACAGAGACCACGCCATTCTCTTTCCTCTGCTATTTTTCCTGCTATGCAATTCATCTTTCATCAATGAGGAAAGAAGATCTGTATAGTAAAGGATAGCTTCTTCCCGGGAACTAAACTTTTTTTATTTTTTTATTTTTTATTCTTTATTTTCTTTTATACAAAATATAACAAACAAACATCCGCTCTCTCGAGCATAATGCATGCACTACACAGACAATATTTATAGAATTGAGTAGTTATAAACAGTGTTTATATTATTGACTTTGTTACTGTATTATCATTATATATAATCAATACTGTATTATCATTATACAAAATCAGTTTGGTAGAACAATACAACTTTCCTTATAATAAAATGCCATCTATTCTATCCTATGCTATTTATTACATTTATATTATCCAAATCATACATTCATTCACATGAATTTCCGGTCAATTAAGTTTAGTCTATTATTACTTCTTTATGGGGATTATTAAAGTATCAATCTATGGCTTTTCAGTTTGTCTTACATGGTAAAAAAAAAAAAAAGTACCAACATGTTTTAAGAATTAAACAAGACGAGGAGAAGAATAAATTCTCTAAATATATCAGAACTATACATTCCCTCACAAAATTGTTTAGTAATATGTATTCAACCGTCAACCGTCAACCGTCAATACAAATCAATTGGGAGAAAATAAATAAATAAATAATTTTACCAGCAATTCTCATAATCTATGCTTAAAATATCGCCCTTAGGTTGGAACCAATAATTCCATAATCTATCCATACTTTTTGATATCTATTACTAAACTATTATATATCTCAAACAATTTATGATTAGTATAGGAATGAAATAGTATAACTCCTATTTCCATCTCTATTTGTTTTATCACTTGCTTTTTAAAAAAGGAGTTTGATGGAATAATAGTTTGTTTTTAACTTTTTGCGATAAGCAACTTCGTTGCCATGAGGCAATGAATTATCAAAATCTCCAATTTTTTATTATTTTCTATCTCATATAGGTGCAGTAATGCGGTCTTTGGTGTTTTCTCTAATGTCACTGCTCCTATCTTATTTATTAGTTCAAATGTTAAATCCCATAATTAGATAATTCTAGGACAGCTCCACCAAATATGTAATATTGAGCCGTTTATATGTGAACATCTCCAACAATTAGGAGGATTACTTGAGGAGATTTTGTTAAGTCTTATCGGTACTAAGTACCATTTAAAAGATAGTTTAGAAAAGTTTCCAAAATGTTTAAACAATGGATATATTTTTTAAGTTTATTAAATGTCTGACACCATAAATCATGCTGTATATCCAAAGATAGATCAGCTTCCCATTTCATAAACGTCGTAAAGGTATTAGGACAGATAACTATTTTTATTGCTTCCATTGCTTTAGCATAAACATGTTTAGAGGATTTAGCCAATAGGATATCTTTAATTAAACCTCCCAATTTATCATCTCTATTCATAATATGTTATTTTAAAAAACTTTTTACACGTAAATAATTAAATATTTCTTTTGAGGGCAAATCAAGTAGAGTGGAAAGTTCAGCATAGTTTTTCAGCTATGCTGAATAAAACATTAATCCGATCGTTATTATTATACCAATTTTTAAGATCAATTCGTGTCATAATCTCTTCCAAAGATTGCTATGATAAAGTGTAGGGAATTAGATTGTCAATATTAAGTTTCCTTTTTAATTTATTCCATTCTTTTAAAGTTTGGAATAATATTATAGACTCCTCTTCTGTTATACTCTTTATATCATTATTCTTATTGAGATTATTCCATAACAAGGGTTCAAAATTATTTATCTTAATTCTATGTGTTTCTAATTTATACCAGGGTTGGTCCCTCAATTCAGTCCTTTGAAGATTGGTAGCATGTATTATCATATTAGCCTGATATGATAGCTTTATTAATGGATAACCGATTCCTCCATCCCTTCCATTTTTTGACAGGGAAGTTGTATTAATCCTTGGTTTTATCCCTCTCCATATAAAATTAGTAAAGCTATTTTGGACCATATTGAGGGAATCATCCGGAACATATAGGTCCATTTTGGTATTAAATAAGCTTTAATGGTGTTCACCCTTCCCCACCATGAAATCTCGTATGATCTCCACTTCCTTAGTAATCTATTGGTTTCTTTTAGAAGTCTCATGAAATTTACCTTCATGCACCTTCTAGGGTCCGCCGTCAAGATTAAACCAAGATAGCTCATCTCTTTCGTGGTCCAATAAAATGTATTTGATTGTTTCATTATGTGTAAGGTTGTATCTTGTATGTTATTTACTTACGCTATTGATTTATTAACATTTAATTTATAATTTGATATCAGACTAAATTTTTTGAACTCTTGCATTACAATTGCAAGGGAAGAATTGGGCTTGGATATTGATATAAGTATATCATCTGCATAAAGGCAGATATTTAATACATCACCAGTAACCGGTATTCCTTTTATTTCCCTATTTTGTCGTATTTTACAAGCAAATGGCTCGATTGATAACACGTATAAAAAAAGGTGATAATGGGCAACCCTGCCTGGTACCATTAGAAATTTTAAACCAATCAGAACATAAATCCTGTCTGATCAGAATGAATAATGGATGGAAGAATAGATTGTAGTCTCGCTGCTAATATAGCAGCAAATAATTTAGCGTCCACATTCATTAAGGAGATTGGCTGATAATTATGAAGATCCGTTGGGGATTTCCCTGGCTTCAGTATTGGGGAGACGTGAGATCTAAGTAAATCATAAGAAGCTTGACTTTTACTCGCAATTTCATTAAAAGTGACTGTCAACATGGGAATAATTTGAGTTCTGAAAGTTTTATAAAATAAATTTGTATACCATCAGGCCCCGGAGCTTTTCTATTTACAAGATTGTTTATTGCTAGTGCCACTTCTTCCGTGGATATGGTCTTATTTATTCTCTCTTTTTGAGCTAACGATATTTTAGGTAATTTAACGTTATTCAGATAATCCTCTAGTTGTTCTTTATTAGGACTAAAATTTAAATTATACAGTTTCTTATAAAAGTCTCTGAAGCTGTTCGCTATATCCTCTGGTTTAAGGATATTTTTGTCATCAACCACTAATTTGAAAATTTTCTTTTCCAGATTTTGTTTTTTTAATTTGTTGGTGAGCATAGCATCTATTTTATTAGACTTATAATAGAATTTGATGTTTAACTTATATAGGTTATTTTCTATCCTTTCAGAGATTTTTTTTATTAATCTTTTGTTGAATTTCCTTGATCTTATTTGCTCTTTCGGGTGAAAAAATTGTGTTTATTTGCTGTGTATAAATTATAGAATTCAATATAAAGCTCTGAGAGCTTAGACTCTCTCATATGTTTGTTTTGACAAGCTATTTTATTGAAGTATCCCCTTATTACTGTTTTAAAAGAGCATCAGTCAAATTCCTTAGATAGTTCTGGAGTTACATTTTCTTTAAAGAATAAATCTATCAAATTTGTAATTTTATCAATATTAATTTTGTTCTTCAATAGCGTGTCATCTAATTTCCAGATCATAGGAGGTCTTTTATTTTTATCTTCTATTTCATAGTTACATAGTTACATAGCTGAAAAGAGACTTGCGTCCATCAAGTTCAGCCTACCTCACATTTGTTTTTTGCTGTTGATCCAAAAGAAGGCAAAAAAACCCAGTTTGAAGCACAATTTTGCAACAAACTAGGGAAAAAATTCCTTCTTGACCCCAGAATGGCAGTCAGATTTATCCTTGGATCAAGCAGTTATTACCCTACATTGAAAGATTATATCCTTGAATATTCTGTTCTTGCAAGTATGCATCTAGTAGCCGTTTGAACATCTGTATGGACTCTGATAAAACCACTTCCTCAGGCAGATAATTCCACATTCTGATTGTTCTTACAGTAAAAAACCTTTCCTTTGCCTTAGACGAAATCTTCTTTCTTCCAGTCTAAACGCATGGCCTCGTGTCCTATGTAAAGTCCGGTTTGTGAATAGATTTCCACACAATGGTTTGTATTGGCCCCGAATATATTTGTATAATGTTATCATATCCCCTCTCAGGCGACGTTTTTCTAAACTAAATAGGTTTAAATTTGTTAACCTTTCTTCATAGCCGATATGTTCCATTCCTTTTATTAATTTTGTAGCCCGCCTCTGCACTTTTTCTAGTGCCATAATATCCTTCTTTAGAACAGGTGCCCAAAATTGCACAGCATATTCAATATGGGGTCTTACCAGTGATTTATAAAGAGGCAAAATTATATTCTTGTCCCGAGAATGAATGCCCTTTTTCATGCATGACAATACCTTACTGGCCTTGGCCACTGCTGATTGACATTGCACATTGTTGCATAGTTTGTTGTCTATAACAATTCCCAAGTCCTTTTCGTGTGTTGTTATCCCTAATTCGCTTCCATTAAGGGTATACGTTGCTTGTGTATTCTTTACGCCGAAGTGCATAACTTTGCATTTTTCAACATTAAATTTCATCTGCCATTTGAGTGCCCAGTCCCCCAGTCTATCTAAGTCCCTCTGCAGCAAAGTAATATCTTGCTCACATTGTATTGTTTTACAAAGTTTGGTGTCATCTGCAAACACTGAAACATGACTTTCAATGCGGTCTTCAAGATCATTTATAAACATGTTAAATAGAAGGGGTCCCAGAACAGACCCCTGAGGGACACCACTTGTCACCTCTGTCCAGCTTGAAAATTTACCATTAATGACAACTCTTTGTACTCTGTTTTTAAGCCAATGTTCTACCCAAGAACAAGCATTTTCATCTAGACCGATTTCCTTGAGTTTGAACACATTATCACTAGATCATGATCTGACCACTTATTGTATTTAATTATAATAGAAATAATGACTAAACTTTTACCAATTTCAGGAAGAGCAGGACATGTTTTAGTGTTTCTCTGCCATTTGATGAATGATAGCTGAAATCTACATTAAAAAAAAAAATCATATAACACGAAACTGACCTAATACTAAAACATATTAAGGGAAAATAATGCCATCTCAATGTTCTTGATACAACATACTAAAGAACAAGATCAGAATCGATCTGTCTGTCTATCTTCCTATCATGCTATGTAAAAGTCCTTTCTGATTTACTCATTTTTTATTTGCTTTTGTCACACAAGATGATTTCAGATCTAAAGTAAACACAAAATCCAATTTTAATCGCTAATTGAGAATTACCA